GACTGCCGCATGTAAGAGCCAGACGTGGCCGACAGCAGGGAGGGGATCCACCTCCACCACCTGCGGGTAACCCTGCTTCGCGCCCACGACTCCCAGGCTGGTCAAGGTTCGATGTCCAAATCAGCTTACAGAACTTACGAAGCCTTGACCCATGCGTTGTAACGCGCGGGTTGCGGAATCTACACTTGCGATGGTTGCGTGCTAAAGAGAGACTCATCTTATCCAAAGCTGGTCTGGACAGCGTCAGGCTCAACCTGATCCAAGGCGTCTGTGACGCATGTCGGTGGTGCAGGGCTGGGGATAAACCAGGGCATACTGTTATGCCATCTACTTCACTACATGGCAAATTCAACGACGAAGTCGAATGCGACCTTATGTTCTACAGACAGGAGCATGATCTATTTTACATCATTGATCGTTGTGTCCGATAAAACAACGACCCGTGTCTTAGATGCGTATCATCAGTGCTGGATGCAGTTCGGACCTGCTAAGGTACTCTGCTCTGATGGGGAGGGCGCCCTCAATAACGACACTGCAAAGGCGGCCCTTCAGGCAAAAGGCGCCGAGCTGAGGGCGCGCGCGCGTGGACAGCGCGCTGCGACAATTGATGCCAGAAGTGACATATTTCGCCATCTACTTCATGCCATGGAAACTGAACTCAAAGGGTTAGACATACCTCTCGTGTTCACGCGACTACTGCACGAAGGCCTGTTCGCCGCCAGTGCGTTCACCTTTTGCGATGCGGTGTCTCGATATAGTTTTTTGTTTGGGCGGCAACCGGCAATGCTTCCTGTTCTGCCTGTTCTGGATCACGAACAGCCAACAGAGACGTCTGACCATTCTCGGGAAGAGGTGATACGCAGGGCATGCATTGAAGCTATCGCACAGGCCACTGCAGCAGCCAAGACCACTTGTGCACTACGTACTAAGAAAAGTACCACCGGTCAGCATTGTTTGATGAAGGAGATTTAGTTGACTATCATCGTCCCACAACTACGAACGGCGACTGGGGAGGCTGGAATGGCCCGTTCCCAGTCTTACGAAATGATCCCGACAGGGGTCAAGTCATCATTCGAGTGGGAAATCGTGATGTGCAAGTTCAATATGGCGACGCACGGCATTCGCTTTACGTCGAAGCTTTGATAGCCAGAGAGATTGGCTCTGACAACACTGCGTTGCGGACAGTGTTGACATTTGTTGCCAGTCTACCTGCGGGGAGACCAGATATGACGTTTGGCTATGTCCCGACCGACAAGGGAAAGCTTCAAATGACCAGTGCAAGACAATTATCTCTAATAATACATGTGGCGCTACAATACCTTATCGGAAACTTCTTCCGTATCGAGCATGTAGTTTCTGTTAGGTTAGCTTAGAGTTCATAAGCTACCTCCGGTGGTATATGCTGACAGTTGCACATTGGTCCATTCTGGCAACGATGTGCATCCAGGTTTCCACTACTATGAAGCAGAAGGCCTTGCCCTGAATGTTCATGATATATCTGGATCAGCACATTCGAGAACAAATCAGTTCCTACAATCCACTAAACCTCAAAGGGGCTTCGACCAATCTATGACAACGTTTGAGGGACTGGCGGACATACCGACGCGACGAAAACGCCAGAGAGGCCCCAGAAGCCGAACCACCGCAGGAGGATGGACGATTACCTACGATCTATGAGGAATCAGAAGCGGACCTTGAGGCACATATTAGGGAGATGTGGTGCACGTGATTACATCAAGAACGTGAACTGTTGGAGGCAACTCCATTAGATGACTTTTGAACTGTACGCACATATGATCACCGATAACAGTGCGCTCGTCACTGTAGCTTAAGAGCAGCGGGGGTACTTGCCTGAATTGGGTTATCCACGCGACTCCGACATCGAGGAGACGTATCATGTCCCACTATGTTCTACGGTCGAAGACCCCAGTTACGGATGGGACTCGGACGAAGATGGTCCATATGTAGAATTTTGCTTCGCTGCAGAAATGTCAAAGGTAGTCCTAGCTGATCAACATCATATGATATTAGATGTCGACCGTGTAACCGCCGTGCGAGTATATGTCACCGTCGCTGCAAAACGAGCTGTGGTTGTCAAGGAAGACGACCTCCTTGCGAAGGCCGACGTCCAGGCGGATCCCGAGAAGGTACCAACAGCCCTATATTCTGAACTCAAGACATGGTTTGAGATCGCGCGTTTCAAGATGCAAGATGCATGTAAAGCGTCGAACATGGTGACTTCGAGGTACGTATATAAGTGGAAGTTCGCGGAAAACGGGAAGGGCGAGATGGGGCGTGACATCGGAGTGCGCCTTGTACTTCGGGGTTTCATGGGCCTCGAGGCTTTCGACGTGGAAACTTTCTCAGGAACAGCGCGGCGGCCGAGCCGGATATTGCTCGCAGGCGCGGCAGCGTGCAAGAAGCAATGGGTCATTGTTTCCCTCGACGTCAGCATGGCCTTCCTGAAAAGGTTAACCTATCAGGAACTCGCTGAGGCAGCTGGTGAGAGGGAACGTGTGGCGTGCTTTACCTTGCCGCCTGGATCGGCAACGGTGCTTCGATCCCCTCCAGGCTTCGATCGCTACGACGAGTCGAAGCACTGCCTGCGTCGCCGCAAGCCAGGCACCGGCATCAAGGATGCAACCAGGGCTTTCTCACTTAATCTCAGAAGGGGCACGAGAGGCTTTTGCCTCGGACCCACGTCCTACAACGAGGAGTTCGAGACGAACAGTATTCTGCTCACAGCCAAACATGTTGATAGTACTGAGGACAGCATTGACAAGTGAGTCAAGTGCGTCGAGGACACTTTTGGTAAGGACAAACTCAACAAGCATACATGTACTAATCGTGCTGCGAGGTGCACAAAAGATGGGGGCGGCAACGTTACATTGGACCAAGATGAATGCATTATACAGCTCCGTCCCATACAACATCCTGAACTCACGGGCGCAGACGCTGACGCCAAAGCATCCAAGATTGTTGCTGACCCGTTTGTCAGCCTTAGAGGCGAAGTGTGGTTGATGGTATATTTGGTCTTTCTACAACGTGTCCAAGAACCGACCAACATAAAAGTGCGACGACTGAATGCGATTGCCAGAAAGCTGCAGGCCTGCCTTAAGAAGAACAGCTATCAATCGATGACTGCAACGGGCGAAGTTGACCTGCACAGCGACTCGGGCTATCGACGCCTGAGTGGAGACGCCGACGACGAGGTCAAAGGCTACGGCACTCGCGGGGCAAACCTGCTACTGCGCGGAAGCACGCCATCCGGTAAGCCCGTCGTCCATTTGATCGATGCGTACTGCAAATCTCACCGCTTGCAGGTCCGCTCAAACTATTCAGCAGAGACATTTGCAGCAGCCCACAACCTGGAGGATTGCTATCCCGCGATCGTGACTCCGCACGACCTCCATGCACGTCCACTGACACCCAACCAGTTGAATGATATACTGGAGTTGGGTGGCCTTAGCATCAAGGTCGTTTTGACCATAGATGCCGAATCTGTTTTCAAGTCATTGTCATGCAAAGTCCAGAAGAAGCCGACTGAGTGTATTTATTAGGGAAGCATCAGTTGGAGACGACAGATGATTGAGCGAGGAACCGTGCATAGTATTAAGTGGTGTGACGCTCGCGATATGACCGTGGACGGTCACACGAAAGGGAACATCGATTGAGATATGCTCCTACAGGTCATGGGAGGCACGCGATCCTTCAAGCATGACCTAAAACGTCATATTCCTTATCGGCCGCCTGAGGAGTAATCGCGTGCACAGCAATGTACTTGCAAGGTAACTTGCGTGCGGGTCCACCTTCCTTTTGGACCGGCCTTTTGCTGCCTTGTTGCATAGGGATGGCGGACTCACGCCTCGTGTCCTCCCCCCGGCTAAAGTGAGGTAGGACAAGGGCGAAAGATAACGAACGTTTGTCCGCGGCCGTTTGTGTTCAAGCGGCCGGCCGCCAACATATGATTGTGCTTCATTGCGAGGCATACTATTCGCCATCGAAGCCGAAAACATCCTTCGCTTGAGATGGCCCGTCGCTCCCGCGAGGACCACCTGCGACTGGGACTATCGTGACCACGATACAACAGAGCAGGAACTATGCTTCGCCTAATACGTAGCTTCTGGACGGGCCTACCACCCCCCTTCAAGATTTCCTGAGGACCTCTTGGGGTCATCTTGGGCCATCTCGGGCGCTCTAACGCCTCGCGCCCCCCCCCTCCCAGGTCCAGGGGATGGCAAGGGAAGGACGGGTAGTGGAAATATAGAAGACTAAACTCGTTAATCCACTTGCGCCCCAAAAAAGGGCTGGTGGGATTATGGAGTTCAGTCAGTCCCTCTCCGTCCTCCTCCGTCCTCCTGCTCCTCCTGCTTCTCCTCCTCCTCTGCCTCCTCCTCCTCCTCCTCCTCCTCCTCCTCCTCCCAGGCAGTTTGTGCCACCTGCTCTAACCGTTCCGGCTCTCACCCACGGCGGATAATTTCGACCAGGGAGTGCCGTTCGGCGCCGCCGTCGGTCTTGTGGACACAAACAACGGTACGGATGAATGGGCAGCAAGCGGATGTCCAGGTGCCCGCGGCAAGTCGCGCCACCGTGCCAGCCCAGCATTCTCGGTGGCAGGTACTCTGGTCAGTATCGTATAACCGATCCCCATCCCCATCCCCATCCCCTTCGAGACCCCTGCCAGATTGACACCCCAGTCGAGAATATACCCTTCGAGACCCGAAAGGAGCGACCCATATCCCAATCTAGGGGGGTAAATCGGCCAGTGGGGCCCAGGCCACGCCGCTGGGGATGGGGATCGGTTAAACGATACAGGCGGCCCAGAATAGTAGGTCGACCCTGCCAGATCAAGGGCACCCTCGTGTCCTGTGTCTTGCGACCCATGCCTCCTGCATTTCTGTGGCAACGTGGCCCTCGGAAGGGTCCTGTGTCCTCTCGCGTGTCCTGCCCAATCGAGTCCGCCTGTACTCATCTGGGCTAGACCTCGGGGCAGGCTCGAGGGGCGGACCTGCTCGAACGCGGGGTCTCTGTGCACGAGCGGCGCTTCTCTGGTTGACGTTTGTGCCATCCAGTGCGCCTTTCAGGTTGCATCGTTCCCGTGGCGCGTGGACTCGGCGGAGCCATTCGAAAAAAGGCGGGCACCGAGGGGATCCCGAGCGGACCCCGAGATGCCGTCCCCTTCCTCATCATCTCCTGGCCTGCACCTCCTGCTCCTCTTCTTTTTCTTTCCTCATCGTGTCACTCGCCCCGTCCGCATCCAACACAGGATGCACCGGTTAGCGACGTACATCGAACACCCAACCGTCAGCGTGGCCCAGGCCCGCCGCGCAAGTCAGCAGCCCTGCCAACGAGAACATGAAGAGCATGCAAACGCATGCAGGACAGGCAACTGTACCAATCACAAGCGCTGGTGCATGCTGCATGCTCGACCTCCTATTTATCCCCCCTCGGTCGGGGCATGTTGCCTGTTTCTTTCCCAACCATCCTGTGGTGTTGGGTTTTCGTTTTTACGAGACAGTGCCCCGTGTCCCCCCTCTCCGCTTCCCCCTCCTCCCTCCCTCCCCCCCTCATTGCCTCTGCCCTCTTGATTGCCATCGTCGTCATCATCATCATCACCACCATCACCATCAACATCAATATCAACATCATCATATCATCATCAGCATCATCATCATTATCATCATCATCACCAACATCATCATTCGCACCATTTATCATCATCAGCAGCAGCATCATCATCATCGTCCTCCTCCTCCTCATCAACATCATCGTCATACATTTCGGCACACCCCTCACGCGTTTCGTAGTCCCACATATATATAGAGAGAGAGAGAGAGAGAGAGAGAGAGAGCGAGAGAGAGAGAGAGAGAGAGAGAAAGAAAGCTCCACCGAAGGCCCCAGTGGCCGTGCCCACATGCGTCCCCGCCATCCATTTCGGCACACCCCTGACGCGTTTCGTGGTCCCGAGGGGAGCTCCACCGAAGGCCTCAGTGGCGGTGCCCACATGCGTTCCCGCCACCCATTTCGGCACACCCCACACACGCGTCGTGGCCCTATAGGGAGCTCCACGGAAGGCCCCAGTGGCGGTGCCCACATGCGTCCCCACCACCCATGTCGACACACCCCTCCCGCTTTTCACCGTCCCACAGGGAGCTCCACGGAAAGCCCCAGTGGCGGTGCCCACATGCGGCCCCGGCACCCATGTCGGCACACCCCTCACAATTTTCGTGGCCCCATAGGGAGCTCCACCGACGGCCCCAGTGGTGGTGCCCACATGCGTGCCTGCCACCCATGTCGGCACACCCCTCACACGTTTCGTGGCTCCATAGGGAGCTCCACAGAAAGCACCTGCGTAGTCAACCCTCAGGCCTGGGGACGGAGGGCTCAAGCGACCTGAGGACGCTCCAACTCGTTGCTCAGGGCACGGGGGCGGATCAGACTGAGAATAGTGACAACAGCAACAAGGAGTGAACATAATTCCCCGATCAGCCTTGCCTGAGGGGTTCTCACTTGGTTACAGGTTGGTGCCTCGGGAGGCTACTTTGTCCGTTCCTCGGAGGTTCCCCGGGTTCCTCGGCTTCCCCGGGTTCCTCGGGTTCCGCGGGTTCCTGGGGTTCCCCGGGCCTTTCGGGTTCCCCGGGTTCCTCGGCTTCTTCGGGTTCGACGGGTTCCCGGGGTTCCCCAGGTTCCTCGGGTTCCTTGGGTTCCCCGGGTTCCCCGGGTTCTTCGGGTTCCCCGAGTTCCTCGGGTTCCCCAGGGGTTCCCCAGGGGTTCCTCGGGCTCCCCTGCGAAGCAATGCCAAGCAATGCGAAGCAATGCTAAAAAATGCCAAGCATTGCCAAACAGCCAAGCAATGGCAAGCAATGCCAAGCAATGCCCAGCAATGCCAAGTAAGGCGAAGCAACGTCAAGCACTGGGAAGCAATACCAAGCAACGCGAAGCAATGCCAAGCACTGTGCCCAGGCAATAGAAAGCTTTCCCCTAATTTTGGTCGCGCTGGGTTTATCTATAATACATGTGTTTCTCTCATTTCGCCAGCATTGCAAACTTGAAGGACCAAGGTGCGTGGCGCGAATCGCTAGTGCAGCTGTCATAGATGCATGCAGGCACACACACATATGTATGGTTGCGTGTATGTATGTATGTATGTATGTATGTATGTATGTATGTATGTATGTATGTACGTATGTATGTATGTATGTGTGTGTATGCATGTATGTATGTATGTATGTATGTATGTATGTATGTATGTCTGTCTGTCTGTCTGTCTGTCTGTCTGTCTGTCTGTCTGTCTGTATGTATGTATGTATGTATGTATGTACGTACGTACGTACGTACGTACGTACGTATGTATGTATGTATGTATGTATGTATGTCTGTCTGTATGTCTGTATGTCTGTATGTCTGTATGTCTGTATGTATGTATGTATGTATGTATGTATGTATGTATGTATGTATGTATGTATGTATGTATGTATGCTTGTTCGTATGTATGCATGTATGTATGTATGCATGTATGTATGTATGTATGTATGTATACATATAAGCGGGGATCGGGCCCGGGGGCCCGGGAGCCACGACCTCGACCACAAATGTGTGCCACGGGGGCCCCCGGGGGCCCCAAGGCGGGCCAAGCAGCTCCAAGAGGCCGCCAGGATGCTCCAAGAGGGCCCCGAGACGCCCGAAGATCGCTCCAAGACGCCCAAGATGGCCCCAAGACGTCCCAAGACGCCTCCAAGGCGCCCCAAGAAACCTCCAAGAGGCTTCCAAAGAGAGACCACGGAAGCATTTTTCATTGTTTTTTTCTGTGTTTTTTTGTGTTTTTTCGAGTTCCAGCCTCGTCGGTTTCCCGGCGCTCCAAGACGGCCCAAGAGGCCCCGAAGATCGCCCCAAGGAGGCCCAAGAGGCCCCCAAAACGACCCCATGACGGCTTAAGAGGGCCCCAAGATGGCCCAAGAGGCGCCCACGACGGCCCAGGAGGGGCCCCAAGGCGGGCCAAGCAGCTCCGGGAGGCCGCCAGGATGGTCCAAGAGGGCCCCGAGACGCCCGAAGATCGCTCCAAGACGCCCAAGATGGCCCCAAGACGTCCCAAGACGCCTCTAAGGCGCCCCAAGAAACCTCCAAGAGGCTTCCCAAGAGAGGCCAGGGAAGCATGTTTCATTGTTTTTTTCAGTGTTTTTTGGTGGTCTTCCGAGTTCTAGCCTCGTCGGTTTCCCGGCGCTCCAAGACGGCCCAAGAGGCCCCGAAGATCGCTCCAAGGAGGCCCAAGAGGCCCCCAAAACGACCCTATGACGGCTTAAGAGGGCCCCAAGACGGCCCAAGAGGCGCGCAAGACGGCCCAAGAGGGGCCCCAAGACGGCCCCAAGAAGAGGCCCAAACGCGGGATCTGAACGGCCTCTCGCGCCCTCAGCCCCAAGAGACCCCCAGGAGGCCCAAGACGCTCCCAAGATGCCCTCAAGAGGCCCAATGAGCCCCCCAACAGGCACCCAATAGTCCCCCGGGAAGCTCCCGCAGAGGCCCCAAAGCAGCCACTGCCGCCACCGCCGTTGCCGCCGCCGCTCCTGCAGGGGGAGGAGGAGCAGGCGGATGGGGAGCAGGAGGGGGAAGAAAGAAAAACGAGGAGAGGATGACGAGGAGAGGATGACGAGGAGAGGCGGACGCCTGCCAGCTCTAACCGCGCGTCGGCGCCCGTGCCTGTTGGAACGAGGATAGAAACAATCTTCTGCTCCTGCCTGGTGCGCATCCGCCGCCGCCTCCTCCTCTTTCTGCTGCCGCTGTTCTCGCTGCTGCCGCCCTCCTCTTCCATTTCACCTCCCCGACTCTCCTACCTTCTTCGCCTGTACTATTCCTTCTCTCAGGGGAGGCGCGTTTGAGACACCGGTGCGGTAGGTTCGCGCGGCGTCGGCGCGGAAGAGACCCCAGCGCCCCAGCGCGGGCGTTCAAGGTTGAATGCCGCCAGTGGCCCAGCATCGTTCATTAGGGAACGATCTTTCGATCGGAAAATGGCCGATCGTTCAAGGTTGAACGATCCACGCGGTGTCAGCGACCAACGCCGACGACGTCGCGGCGCGAACCTGCCGTAGTTGGCCTTCGGCGGACCCCCTCGTCGCCACGACTCGACGCAGCTCGGAAAACTGGACCGTTTGGACCCCGTGAGGGGTCTGGGAACCAGTTTTGAGCAGATTTACAGTTTCCAGTGTTTCTATTCGCCCTTTCGGAAGCGACCCCAGCCGCCAGCGGCCCAGGATCGGAGGCTTCGCGTATGCCCACCAGCCCATCCAACGACGATGCCCAGGCAGGTGGAGGTGTTGTTTTGAGAGGTTCTCGGGGGTCTCTTGGAGCCATCTTGGGGCTCCAGGGATCCTCTTGGGGCCCTCTTGGGGATATTTTCAGGCCATCTTGGAGCCCTCTTGGGGTTCTTTTGGGCAGTATGAGAGGTCTCTTGGGGCCGTTTGGGGCCCATGGCTCAAAAGAAGGGGGAGTACTTCATTTCCCTCCCCCCCCATCGGGGGCTACCAAAGGGCGTTTTGATGCCCTCCTGGGCCGCTCTTGGGGAGCTCTTGGACGCTCTTGGCGCCCTCTTGGGGCTTTCTTGGGCCTCTCTTGGGGATCTCTTGGGCCATCTTGGGCCGATCTTGAGGCCTCTTCCCACCGCACGAGTAGCACCCGAGTCTCCGCGTAGCCACGGGCCAGCATTGGATGGACAGCCACTCGAAACCAAAACAGATGCCGTGCAACCGACGTTGCGAATCTCCCGTGGCAGTTTTGGTTCACCTCGGAGGCGGCATGCCACGGGTGTGTTGTCTCTGCCTGACGGATTCACCCGGTTTCAGCTCACGCGACGTCCTTCCAAAAGCTATAGTGGATGTGCTCGAAGCCTCATCGGAGGCGCTCCGGCTGAAGCAGGTCCGTGAAGGCGGCTCGTATCGGCTGGCGTTCGGCCCATCCCACCGCCTGTCCTGCCCTTTCGGAAACGACTGTTCAAAAATGATTGTTGGATGTTCTTCAGAGCGTTTTCGGAGCCTTGCCGGAACCAGTTTGGGAGCATCGTTTGCGCGGCTACGGGCCTCTTGGGAGCATTTCTGGGAGATTCTCGTTATTTCTATGGGAAATCAGGGATTTCTGCCCCCGAGCGAGGCGGCACTGGCCGCATTTTGGGGAGGGCACCTCCCCC